GTCTCTGGGCAAGGATAACATTTTCCTCAATCAAGCATCTCATAAATAAAGTTGCCCAAGTTCCAAGTAAGAGTCTAGAAGGCTCTGCACCACAGAGCGTGGAACATGTGAAGTCAGATGTATGCAGATGCCTCCAGGGAGGTCGGAGGTAGCAGGCTGTGGAAAAGAACTGGTTTAATCATCTGGTGCCTCAGGTAAAAATACCCAAAGATATTCTGCTTCTCCAGTCTCTAGAGAACTATATTAACTAACCAACACCTCAGACTACAGTTGAAGTTCTGACATATTCCCCTGGCATCAGTCAAAAATTTAAAGAATCTGGTGAAGTCCACATCACACACCTCTGAAGCTGAACTTACCACCTCAGCCTGATTCAAAGCAAGATCTTTAGACTTTTAGCTCTTTCTATGGTTCTGCCAAGTCTCCTAGGTAATGCCACCCTGGCTTCCTCTCCTTGTCCCTCCAGAGGTAACTTTTCTTTGGACAATTACCAATGCAGATGCGGTTTTCCTTCCTAATGTATTCTCTAACTCTTACAGACTGGGATTGTTATGACCTTCTAACAGGCTTTTCTGCCCTGTTTCTTACATATTCAGTTCCTGAACACCCATCTTTAAGATTACTCTTCCTAAACAATGCCTTATAGAATAATGAAAGTGTAAATTAATACATATTGAATCTTACATGTGACAGGCACACTAGGCGTATTTTTCAAGTTTTTCCCACTTAACCCTCAGATGCCTAATGAAATAACTATTACTATCCTTGTTGTGCAGACGGCTAAGTTGAGTCACTGAGAGGTTCACTTACCAAGGATTGTGCATTTGTACATGACAGTTAAAACCATGCAGTCTTAATTCTGGAGTCTGAGTGCCTAGCCACATCTTCCCTCTATACATCTACCCCCCAACACACACCCCAGTTAAATTTGGTCTCTATTGCTTACAAAATAGTTTTTCACCAAGTGTTTATCATCCTTCAATTAATCTCTACTTATTTCCTCTAATGTTTATACCTCCTTTCCTCTATATGTTCCCTCCTCTTCAGCAAAACTGGTGCCCATTAGTACTATCTCTTGCTGTTTATATTTTATCCTATGTCCTATGTCCCATATTATGCCTGTAAATGCCTGGAATATGTACCATATCTTTGTGTAACACCCTTACACATAAGACAGTAGACCATCATGTTGATCACAGATGTGCAAAAATGTACTGGTAAGACATCTTATTTGATCCTTCAGCTATCACCATTGTTAGCACTTCACAGATGAAGGAACTGAGCCCTAAATGTTACGTGACTTACTAAGGAGCAAATATGCTGTTGAAATTTTCCTTTCCATACACAAGGGAAGAAGAGAAGACATCAATGATTAGGGTACATGGTAGCAAGTTCTATGTCCAAGACCAGACTAGAGCACTAGGAAACACCAAGTTGGAATGCTTAGCCCAGGGGGTCCCGAAGAGCTTCACAAGGAGGGGATGCCTGGCCTGAAGTCACTCCAGATAGGAACTCCACGTATGCAAAGCCTCTGAGGCACGCAGAGCCTGATATCTGAGGAACAGGGAATGGTTCAGAGAGTGACTAGGAGGAAGCCTACTTTAGTGGGGGTTGGAGGGAAGATCAGAGTTGAGATTAGGGGAAAAGTAGACAACAGTCAAATCTGTACATAAAAATCTTGAATGGCAAGAAGTTTGGAATTTATAGGACCTGAGGTGCTACTGATAAATTTTAATTAAGGACAAAACATGCCACACTGCAAGAGAAACCACCAACAGAGCTAAGAGACAACCTACAATGTGGGAAAAAATTGTTAGCAGCTGTACCTTAGACAAAGGACTACTATCTAGAATATATAAAGAACTGAAAAAAACCAGACCCCCCAAATTCAAAGACCCAATTCAAAAATGGGCATCTGAAGTGAACAGACCTTTCTCAGACAAAGAAGTAAAAGCAGCAAATAAATATATGAAAAAATGTTGAACATCACTGGTCATTCGAGAGATGCAGATGAGAACAACACTGAGATTCCACCTCACCCCAGAAAGAATGGCTGCTATCAAGAAATCAACCAATTGGGCCAGGGATTTAGCTCAGTGGTTTCACCGCCTGCTGTGCAAGTGCAAGGACCCGAGTTCGATCCCCGGTACCAAAAAAAAAAAAAAGAAATCAACCAATAACTAATGCTGGCGGGGGTGTGGAGAGAAAGGAACCCCTCTCCATTGCTGGTGGGTGTGCAGACTGGTGCAACCACTGTGGAAATCAGTATGGAGATACCTCAAAGAACTAGGACTACAGGTTCCATTTGACCCAGCTCTTCCCCTACTGGGAATTTTCCCCAAAGAATTAAAAGAATCATACCACAGTGATATATGTGCACCTATGTTTATAGCGGCACAGTCTGTAATAGCTAAGGCTAGGAAACAGCCCAAGTGCCGATCGACTGGAAACTGGATAAAGAAGATGTGTTTTTTTAAATATATAAAATGGAGTACTACTCAGCCATAAAGAATGAGAAACTAGAGACATAGCTAAATGGATGCATATTGAGGCCATACTCTTAAGTGAAATAAATAGGACACACATGTGTAAATACCGAATAGTTTCTCTAGTGTGAGAAATTGAAAGTGTAAATAAAGATGAAAATGATTAAAATGAATAATTGATAATTTGAAATAAGAAAAGGTCCAAGGGTTTGGGGATGGTGGGAGGGGAAGGGGAAAGAGAAGAAGGGAAAGGAAAAATTTTGAGAAAGAAAAAAAATGGAATCAAACTCTGTGTAAATAGGGAAGAGTGGAGGGGTGAAGGGTGCACAGGTAATTGGAGAAAAAATAAGAACTCAGATACATCATGTTCTGGTACAAACACCCAAAGATAAATGTAAATGTATTTTATACCTAAAATGAACCAATAAGTATATATATATAAATTTAAAAAAAGAACATCCATCAAGGAATTTCTGCATGATAGCTAAGACTAAACCTATGACGAACCCTTGAAACTAAATGCAGCCATGCAGTAGCTGGGTGTGGTGGCACATGCTTGTAATTCCAACACTCTGGAGACTGAGGCAGGAGGATTGCTGGGAGTTCAAAGCCAGCCTGCCTTAGAAAGTGAGACACCCCTCCCCAAATAAATAAGTGCAGTGATACATTTAAACCCTTTTCTTTGATTCTATTATTGTATTTCTTCCATTACTATGGATTTTTCAAGGCTAGCAGTTCTCAAAAGTGGTATTATTCCTACTTCTGGGTCATTATAATAGGTTCAAATAATAAGGCTGAAGTCATAAATGGAGCATTTGATACTCTATTAGGACACAGAAAAAAATCAATGTACTGTAAACATTAGAACTGTTTATTTTCCATTCGCTCTAATGCTGGTTTTAACTGTTCTGAAATAAAGGTAGATGTAGTGGACAGTGATACTATCTTGTATTAAATATATTGAGGAGTACTGTGCCTAAATAGTGTCTGCAAGAGGAAAAAAAACTTTAAATGGTCATTTGGTCCATTAAAATTTTTTCTGCTTTGACGTCTTTGCAACTGTGTAGAAGATAAATATACTGTATTTATCTGCATTTAGAAACTTATTAGAATTGTGCACAAATACTTTATAATGTGAGTACTTAAAGAGGTCTGAATTTTACTAAGGAATGTTCTGTGAAAAATATAGCCCCCTGATGAGTCATTGTGAACTCTGAGCTGTGAGTCTCAAAGTCTATGGACCGTGATCTACTCTGGGAACAGTGGCTTCTGAATCAAAGAATGTCACCCACACCCTCACTGTACAAATGACACGCAAACTAAACAGATAATTGACTTCCCAAAGGTTGAAGTCAAAAAGACAGAATGTTTTTGCTCGTTTTGGGGTCCAAACATCTCAAATGGACACAAGAGTCGAAAGCTAAGTGTGATAACCAGTTTGTTGAGACTTCTATGATCACTTATCTCACAGGACACTTTTGAGAGCTGCTTCACAGTAGCGTTTGGAAAATATCCAGGCTTCTCTGCCTCACTGTTATCCTCCACCTCAAAGAAATTTAAAATTGGGCTCAGAAGGACTAAATAATAGTTTTAGAAAGGGTCAGGAATGGACTTTTGACCGCAGATTAACATACTTTACAGGAAGTTTTACACTTCCCGACGCTGGGAGGCGCCAGAAACTCTGGTATACCCAAAGGCTCATCGACCGGAAGTTCTCTTGCCCTCAACAAAGATGGCGCGCGGTGATGTGAGCCAATCAGGTTGTTCTGTATCGGGGCCTTGTTTCACTTTCTCCGCCCGGTAGGCTCCGCCAAGAGCTCTGACGTAGCCAATCAGTGAGGCCCTTCAGCCTCGTGCGTCTGACAATATGAAGGGGCGGAGTCTGGTTGGAATTTTGGCGGGTTCGGCTGTTGATTTGGAAGCGGTGGTTGCACCCGGTAAGGAGCGCGGGTTTTGGGCGTGCGGACGGCCCCGGCGCGGCTGTGAGAGGATGTGAGGTCTCCGAGGGCGAGAGGCGCGGAGCCCCTGAGGGTTGGGTGGGCGCGATCGGGAGCCCAGAGGCCGCCAGGGCGATCTCCGGACGCAGCTGGGCCGGGCCGGGGCGGGCCGGGCCGGGGCGGGTGCGCCGTGGCGCGGGGACTGGAGAACTGCGGGGTTTCCTTTTAAGAGTTCGGTAACTTTTGAAAACGCTTGTCAGAGGCGGGCTGGCCGGACTTCATTCGTCCCTTTGAGTCGTGATTTGCCCACGACGCCTGCACTCTGACGACCCAGACGACCGTGAGGCCGGGAAGGGGAAGGAAGAGGCCGAGGAAGGGGCCTCCGCGGAAAGGGCGGGCTGGACAGGCTCGGAAAGGGAGACTGCAGAGTGAGCGCCCCGAGAGCTTGCCGTGCAGCTGCTCGAGGTCTCAGGGCCAAGCGCGGGTTCGAGAACCCGAAGGCGGGCGTCGGGCTGGAGCGGTCCGGACGCTGGTGGAGCTGGTGGGTGGAACAGAAGAGGAAGTACGAATGAGCAAGAGAGTATAACGTGCCTCTCAGGCTTTGTGCTAAGGGCAGTGGAAAAGCCTTCAAGAAGTCGGCCGAGGAAGTACCGTGATCTGATATATGGCCCTAAAGGGTTCTAAGGAAAGGGAAGATGCGTTACTGCGTCTATGCGCAGAGAGTAGATTGCAGGCGTGCAGAGACTGTCAGGAAGCGCCTGCAGTGCTCCACAGTGGCTCCCGTTCAGGTTTTGGCAGTGACGTTGGAGAGAAGCGGCCAGCTTGATGGCTCAACCCCTAGTGCTTTTTGCACGGCCCTGATGTGAGAGCGAGCGAGCGCAGGTGTGTTGGGGGAGAGGGGCTGATTGTGGAAATAAAGTTTGCCCCCAACCCTCAAGCAGATAATTCCCAGTGAATGATACAGCGTGCAACACAGGATGGGGCCCTTGGAAATGTTGGATAAATAAAAAGAACGCACCTTAATTGATTTGACATTAGACTTAGCAGAGTCGTTAGAGTCCCTGTAGTTAAGTAATGACCTTGCGAGGGGTTTTTTGCACCAGGGAACGAACTCAGCTTCCGCTTGCCAGCCAGGGTGCCACTGAGCTACATCCCAGGCCTTATGACCTTGCAGTTTGAAAGGTCGCTTTTAGGGCCGAGGATGTAGCTTAGCGGTTTCGCTGCCTGCTGCGCAGGCGCAAGGACCCGAGTTCGATTCCCCGGTAGCAAAAAACAAATAAATAAAAATAAAGGTCACTTTTAGTGTAAAAAGGAAAGCAGCCAGAATGATGTGGCTTTAGTTTCATTAACTATGCCAGCTGTTCCTCTGCACCTTGCTAGCTAGCGTTGAATTAAAATGCTGACCGAGGCTGGACCTAGTTAGAATCACACACTGAGCTGCTAAAGGTAAGGTAGACATCAGATGCATTATGATAAATAAAAAGGCATAATAGCCTTAATATTTAGAGCAGCCCCAGCAGCTTTTGTCCACAGTTTGTATCTGTACAATCTGGTGTCGCATAAACTTCCCTATGCTTGAACTGAGTTTCTGTAAACATAGTGTAAAGACAAGTAAAAGGGCTTCTAGTTAGAAGGCAGAAAGGGAATGGAAATGTCAGATTCTAGATGAATCCTAAGATTAGAGCCTGTGGGATTTCTGGGATTTTTGGAATTGTTGAATATACATTGTGAGAAAAAAGGAAGATTCATGGGTGACTTTTTTAATGTTGATTTCCCACAGCCAAGATTTGACCATATTCATCTCCTGAGCACCTGATCCTCCTCGGAGCTCCTGCTCACAGCTTGTGTCTTGATGATGGATGGTAAGGCCGGGTTATTTCCTTAATTTCTCTTGACTTCAGAACTGACACTTGATGTGGATATCTGTTGGAGTGGTTTTAGTCCAACTTCAATTCTTACAGTCCTTTTAGTTGAGTTTGTTTTTCAGGGATGTTCACATAATGTCCACTAAAGAGATGTTGTTGCTTTACTCACTAAAGCTTAGCCTGAAGCAGCACAATAATGATTGTGTTGGTTGTAAAGGGACCTTCACATGTAAAACACATTATTTTGCTGGTTGTATAATTGAGCCCATTGTCTGCATCTTTTAAAAACTCATGTTTAATACGCTTAGCCCTTAAAAAAAAAAAGTAAAACCAGCAGGGTGTGGTGGCGCATGCCTGTAATCCCAGCACTTGGGAGGCTGAGGCAGGAGTATTGAAGTGAGTTTGAGGTTATCCTGCAATACAAAATGAGACCCTGTCTCAAAAAAAACCAAAAACAATAAAACCAAATGTTGAAATTCATCACACGGTGATATACATGAAACTGGTTGCCCTATGGTATAATAATAGTTTCCTGTTTCCTAAAATCACCAAATTGCCCACAGGGTAGTTTATGTAATACAGAGTATAACCTTTTTCTACAAGATGGACACTAAAATATGAGGTGTGCGAGCTAAGAATTCATGGTATCTAGTTGGAAAATCTCATTTGGTTGGTGCAGTTTCACAATTTAGCCAATGTAGAGGAAATTTAAAAGTTTACTGTTACTAGGGATACACTGTTGAATATCGTTCCTGCTTTCATTTTTGTAGAGGGAGCGAGATAATAACAAAAATTTTTTTAATCCCCCCCCCCAAAAAAACTGCCTTGCCAGGCTGTTGGTAAGATGAGAGACCCTAGAATGACTGTTGCTGATGGGAATGCTCCAGAAGAAAGGGAAAATAGTGAGGAGGCAGAGAGAGTTTGGTGATTGTACAGTGAAGTCCTTCAGAAGCTGGACTCAGCAATGGGATCCAACACACAAACGGAGGAATTGGCTATACTTAGGACTAAACACTCTGTCCATTGTCATAGGAGGAAAAGATAAGAACATATGTTCAGATTTGGTCATGAAAGGTGAGAGAGATGATTGCTTCTGGTTTTTTTGCTTTGCTTTTCTGTAAAATACAGTGTAAGATCATCAGCTGAGAGTAAACAGGGAGGAGGAGACAGGGCTTGAGAAGGGACAACGTGAAGTGTAGAATGGAGAGCAAATGTATTGGGGAAGTGTGTTGGATGCCTGTTTGGTTTTGGTGTGCATATTTACATAACTTTCACTCAGGGACAGCCAGATTTCTGTTGTAGGCGTCACTGAGGATATAGGGAAACTTCCCAGTAGTAGATTATGAATTCCAGAGAGTGGATCCCAAGGATTTGGGAAGAAAGGCAGGAAGATTGGGTCAGCATAACGTGAGGATGGGTGGTTTTTGATGTTGCCTCGAGTAAACGGGGATGGGAGGCATCCCAGGATAAGCCCTGGTTATCTCATGATGAAGCTGGGTTTGAGGGGAAGAGTGTGGGGTCACCAGGCAGCGGCTCCCACCTGTGGCTTTCAGTGTGGGCCACGGCTTCCTCTGGGGTGTGCTGTCTTTGGCAGCTTAGGAAGGAGGGGAGGTGGATGCATCTTAGCAGCGCTGCAGGGATGGAGCAATCTCTGCAGCATAGGGAGCTGGGATTGTGTCTTTTCTCTTGCCTCACATTGCAGACTTGGAGTCTTTGTTTCTTTGCTTGTTTGAGGCAGGGTCTTGAACTCACTATGTAGCCCAGGTGGATTCTCCTGCCTCAGTCTCCTAAGTGCTGGGACTACAGGCAAGTGCCCCCACACCCAGCTTAGTATTGGAGTCTTTGTTCACTAAGCAACTCGAACCAGTTGTTACACAACATCTGACTAAGGACTAGGCTTCTCTGTACGCTCTAGGCCAGTGATGGTGAACCTTTCAGAGCTTTCAGTGATATAATCAGCCTGCTGTGGCACGCATGCCAGGATTCCCTACCATTGTTCTGGCCCTTAAGCCTGGCTCTCGGCTCTTTGTTCTGCTAGGGGAGTGTAGAATGGAGGAAGGGACCTTGGTTTGCTGATCTAGTGGCCTCCTTACCAACCCAGGTTTCTGTACTGGCCTTTTTCATCCTGTGACCCTGATAAACTCTTACCCTCTCGGGCTTTAGCCCTTTTCTTTCAGATGAGGGGAATGGGTCAGATATCCCTAACACTTCCTTTAATACCTCTGATTATATAGAGGAATGTTGCCTAAATGGGGGAGAGGCAAAGAAAATAAACAAATCAGCTGGGCACGGTGGCAGATGCCTGTAATCCCAGCACTGTGGGAGGCGGAGACAGAAGAATTGTAAATTCAAATTCAAGCTGAGCCTGGGCAGTTTAGCAAGACCATGTCTCAAAATGAAAAATAAAAGGTCTGGGGATATAGCTCACTGGGTTCAATCCCTAGTACTGGTGGTACAGGTAGGAAGAAAAGAAACAAGAATAAATTCTTGTTTGGCCAGTGAACATAAGCAATTTTTACCTTCACTAGTAATCCAGGAAACAGTGAGATGCTTTTGCAAATCATTTTGGCAAAAAAATGTTAAGATACTGGTGAGGAAAAATACTACTTGATTACAGTGCTAGTGTGAGTACTTCCCCTTGAAGAGAAATTTGGGAACATGTGAAATTGAGAATGTGTACCGTATAACCAACAATCCAGAAAGTCCACTTCTGAGACACAGTCCCAAGATTGTGCATGTGTGTGATGCAAGAGGATGTACACATGATTACAGCATGTTTAGTAGTGGGGAAAAGTTGGAAGTAGCCCCTATGTCCTTTATTGGAAAATGGTGCAGTGTTAATATAGAATATGATACAATACTAGAAAGTAAACTAGAGCTATATGTTACATGATGTTGAATGACCAACAGATATAGAGTAATACATACAGTGTGGAGTTTTTAATGTAAATATTTCTAAAGCTGCCTAATATGAGAATTTATAAATTCATGTTCATGTTAACGGTGGCTAATTCTAGGTGATGGAATATGAGTGCTTTTTGCATACCTTTCTATCTTTAAAAAGAAGTCTCAACAGCCCGCTGGCACACATCTGCTGAGGCACGAGGGTCATCAGTTCAAGTCCAACCTGTGCAACTTAGGGAGACTCTGTCGAAATAAAATTTTTAAAAAGGGTTGGGGGTCTGGGGATTTAGCTCAGTGGTTTTGCCGCCTACTGCGCAAGCGCAAGGACCCAAGTTCGATCTCCGGTACCAAAAAAAAAAAAAAAAAGGGTTGGGAATGTAGCTCAGTGCTGTCTGGGTTCAATCTTCAGTACAAAAAAAATCAATAAAGAAAAAATATTTAGGCTGGTGGTGGCCCCGCCTTGGGTCGGAGGTGTCCCCGGCGGGGTGCGGCGGGAGGGAAACTGAAGTATCCCCGCTCCTACGCCAAAGATAAGACTTGCTTCCATGGGGAGGAGTGTCAGTTCCTGCATGAGGACCCAGCCGCCGGGCCGTGGCCTCCATAACAACAGCGTCCCTCTGGCTCTGGCTGGCGCACCGAGGTGCCGGCTTTCCACCCGGAGCTGCTCCAGGAGGGGGAGCCGGGCCATCCCGGAACCCAAGAAGCCAGACCTGGGGGACCCAGGGGCCCGAGCCGCAGCCGGCGGTGGCGCAGGCAGCAGCGGACTTGAAGGACAGCGGCTGGCAGTTCCTGGAATGGATGGAGGTGCTTTAACTGATGCGAATCTCAGATTCCTATTTCAGCACCAGCTTTATTGGACTCAATGGATTTGGAAGCCCAGTAGAAACGAAGTATCCCTTGATGCAGAGAATGACTGATAGTAGCAGCTCCCCAAGCCTTCTAAATGACAGTGCCAAGCCATATGCAGGCCATGATCCTCTAACTTCACCTGCTTCATCTTTGTTTAATGACCTTGGTGCCCTCAACATCTCTCAAAGAAGAAAGACTCCAAATCCTACTGCAAGAGAGGAGTTTATTCCTAAAGGAGGATCAACCTCGAGGCTAAGTAACGCATTCCAGTCAAACATATCTGCCTTCTCTCAAGTTTTCTCTCACCCATCCATGGGAAGTCCTGCTACTGCTGGATTAGCACCAGGAATGTCATTGTCTGTGGGATCTTCCCCTCTTCATTCCCCCAAGGTCACTCCCCATACTTCTCCTGCTCCTAGAAGAAGAAGCCAGCAAGTTACACATGCTGCCTTCTAGTGCCTCTACACCTGTTAATTAGTAATCCTGTTTCTCAGACTCCATCTTCTGGGCAGGTGATTCAGAAGGAAACTGTTGGTGGGATGACTTACTTCTATACAGACACAACTCCAGCACCTTTGACTGGAATGGTATTTCCAAACTATCATATTTATCCTCCAACTGCACCTCATGTTTCTTATATGCAACTAAAACCAAATGCACCTTCCTTCTTCATGGCTGACGAACTCTGACAGGAGCTGATCAACAGACATTTAATAACAATGGCTGAAATTGATCAAGCAGATATGCCAGTCCCCACAGAAGTTGACAGCTACCATAGTCTATTCCCTTTAGAACTACTGCCACCCCCAAACCGTATTCAGAGATCAAGTAATTTTGGATACATTACATCTCGCTACTAAGCTGTAAATAGCAAAGATCATCTGCCATATTGCCTTCAGAGGATACATGGTTTTTGTCTTGTTAACACAAAGTGCATGGTGTTGGTTGTTATGTGGAAAAATATTGTAACCCTGTGTGAAGTATTTACCACTAAAGCATTTGCAGAGCCTTCACTTGTGTTTGCATATGGTTTCCATGCTGGAGGAGAACTATGATGAGCAGACACTTTAATGACCCTAATGCTGATGCCTATTTCACAAAAAGTGGGGTCAACACGATGGACCATTGCCCAGGCAGCATGCTGCATTATTGCCAGAATCTCTCATTTGGGCATACATTGTCCAACTGAGTTCTGCATTGCGTACCATTCGTACAGCAGGTTTGGCATGTCGAGTTATGGACCCAACAAAGATTCTGATAACTGGCAAAACAGTGTTGCAAGTAAATTGTGTTGGAGTTTTTGATGTTTTAACATTTGATAACAGTCAAAATAATAATCCACTGGCATTAATGACACAGTACCAGCTAGCAGACCTGATATCATTAGGAAAAGTTGTGTTGGCTTTGGCTTGCAACTCTTTGGCAGGAATTCAGAGAGAATTTACAGAAAACCATGGAATTGGTGACAATCAACTACTCTTCTGACCTGAAGAATCTGATCTTGTATTTGTTGACTGACCAAAACAGGCTGCGAAGTGTAAATGACATCATGCCCATGATTGGTGCTCGATTTTATACTTAGTTGGATGCTGCTCAAATGAGAAATGATGTCATTGAAGAAAACCTTGCATAGGAGGTTCAAAATGAAAGACTGTTTAGGCTCCTAGCAAAATTGGGAACAATCAGTGAGAGGCCAGAGTTTCAAAAGGATCCTACTTGGTCAGAGACTGGAGACCGTTATCTGTTGAAACTCTTTAGGGATCATCTTTTTCATCAGTTGACAGAAGCGGGTGCTCCTTGGATGGACCTCAGTCATATCATTTCTTGTCTTAACAAGCTAGATGCTGGTGTGCCAGAAAAAATAAGCCTGATTTCCAGAGATGAAAAGAACATACTTGTGGTAACTTACAGTGACTTAAAGCGCTGCTTTGAAAATACTTTTCAAGAACTGATTGCAGCTGCAAATGGTCAGTGGTAGTATTTGCTAAAAATGCCTGCAGGAACTTAACCAACAGCAAATTACACCTCAGCTGAACTGTTTCATCGTCTCCTTTCCCATTGGGGAAACATGCAGGAGATGAGCAAAGCTGCTTGCACATCAGACAGGTGCACTGTTACTTGAAAGGAAGAATGTTTCACTCATCCAAGAGTTCTGGCTGCCATTGGAGGCTCTGTCTGTGAAGAATTCACTTCAGATCAAGGAGCACCATCAGGTGAATGATGCTCCTGCTTTTGTTTTTTCTACTTGTGTATGCACTAATTTTAATTTTTTAAAGACTTTTCTAATCTTTGAACTTTTGCCACATTGTATACTGATTAAGGGAAACTATTTGCAAGGACATTTTTGGGAAACAATACTGGACAGCATCTTTTGCCATTAAAGGTTGCAGAATTTGCTCTTTTTGGGACGGATTGCCCTAAATGACATAGTGGACCAGGTAAATAATTTCATAGAAGTGCAGTGTACTGCATAATTCTTATGAGAGTATTGTATGCAAGCTCTATATGCCATCCACGGTTAGTTCAAACTGAGATTCTTGTTCTGTTTGTAAGAATATACAGAGAGAAATATCAATGAATTGTTGGGTGTGAATTCCCCTGGTTTACTTAAATGTTTTCTGAATAAGGATCAGACAAATAGTACTTGAGCGAGCTTGTGTAGCTGTTTGCTCCAAATTCACAAAAGAGCCTTTTTTAAAGAAAGCCTGCTAGCCAGATACATTTACATTTATGCAATTTTTAATTAAAAACAAAATGAAGAAATTGTGTTTAAGGCCTAAAGTTCAGGAGTATCTTACTTTAGGTTACTTTGAGCTTGCTTTTTTTTTGTATAAAGTTCTGTTCTTTGAACAACAGCTTTATTATGGTACTTTACACTGGATGCAGACACAGAGACACTGTTCAGAAGATGAACTAAACACAGCAGTGGTCTAGCATCGAGAGCTTTCTGACGTCTTACAGCCTGAATCTGGAGAGATAATGATCCGCTGTGCCTTTGCAGTCACTGCTTAGCCCAAAGTAATAGTACTTTTGATAATAACTCACTCTGTGGGATCTTCCTGAAGAAGTCCATCTCAAAAGTTTGGAATTTTCATCTGCATAACTTTCTTATATTTGGACATGAAGTTATCGCCAAACTGCGGTATTCATGGAATTTCTAGTTAATGAAATGCCTATTCTTTGATACTGAAGACTGCCAAATACATAGGAATTCTCTTTCATAAAAAACAGTAGTGAAGACTATATCTCCTTTCCCAGCACTGAGTGTTTTACTAGCACTGGGTACTTACCATGCAACTATGAAGAAAGTGTGGAAACTCAGAAAGAAGGTCAGGACAGACTCTCGGGCACTTGCAACTGATGTTACTGTCTTCAATTTTAATAATTACACATATTTGTATATTGCAGAGAAGTTTTTAGTATTTCTCTGTCCTCTTTTTATAAGCTTTAAAATGATTTTTCTCTGCCTTGAAATTTGCATCAAGAAAAAGCACCTCTTCACTGAAAGCTTTGAAGACTGGAGACACGCTTTACATGTTTTAACATGTGTATTTGAGTCCATGTTTGGTAACATCAGTTGTTAAGAAAATCAATTATTGCATTTGATCTGGATGGATTTTAAGAGAACATAATGTTCAATATTCAAAGGATAATTAACATTTGCCATCATAATGTCCTCTTTTATGTAAAAGGAACAAGAACTTGGAGACATTAATATGTAAAAGTCTTATCATTAGCTCATGTATTTCAGGAAGGGCAGCTGTCTTTTTATATGTTTTTTGACAAATCATATTGTAATTCTTTTGTATAAAAAAGAACTACTTGCATTCTAGAAAAAATATGAAATCCTTAATTTATAAGCGGGCTGGAGATTTTTTTCCAATATTGTTTTCTTTGAAAATGAAAGGGGATCATCTTTTAGTTTTGGGGTCTGGGAACTTTTTGAAAATTTTAATTTGTGGACCAGTGTTTTGTGAAAGCTAAGAAGTGGCAGGGGTAAAACAGAGCTTGAATCTCTCATTCTGTATAGACCAGCAAACTTCCCTCTGCCAGGCAAGTTCATATCATAAACTCAAGAGTGCACCATAAATACTAGTTTGCTTCAGCCCCTAGTAACCTAAGGACTTGGTTTAAATATAAAGGTAGACAGCTGATATGTTTTCATGAGTAAATATTATCATCCAGAAAACGGTTGGTGTCAGGTAATACATATTTTTTAGCTTTGTTTTTATATTTATTTTTCATTTAGTTTTTTTTGTTGTTGTTTTTTGTACCAGGGATTGAACTCGAGTCCTTGTACTTGCAAGGCAAGTGACGGAACCACTGAGCCAAATCCCCAGCCCTAAAGAATATAAACTTTCCATACCTTCCTGTTATGACAGATAAAAGCACAGAAAGGACAACTCTTAAAATCATGTAACATTGGTCATTTCGATTTTTTGTACCTATTTTAAATTCTGTTAGTTATTTACTTCATTGTAGATATTTTTGAGGGTACTCTTGCATTTGCGTTTGACCTTGGTTCTGTTATTTGAATGTCAGCAACTTCCCTGAAAAGCACCAGTATGTTAAGTTCTAATGTCACGATCCCAATATATGTTATTCATCTTTAACCTTGGTTTCAGTTTCTATGTGTACAGCAGTATTTTTAGTAAAGAATTACAGAGATTAAAAAATATATGTATTTTAAAATTTAAAAGCTCACACCGCTAAGCCTTAAATCTGTTTCGCAGTCATTCCTTTGCTAGTTGACTCGTGGAAGTTGATATGCAGGAAGTTGTCTCATTAATTAAAGCAGAGCAGGTGGAAATTCTAACCCAGTGACTGGTTGTCTTTTCACCAGTTCAGACTGGATAGGTTCACTTGAGATTCGGGCAGCTCGAAGAAGAGACGAAGAGTCGTGGAAATGTCTGAACATACTCTTTTTTTTGGTTTTTTGAGGCAGGGTCTTTCTTTGTAGTTCAGCCTGGCCCTGGACTCACTACGTAGCCCAGGCTGGCCTCAAACTTTCGGTGATCCTCCTGCCTCAGCCTCCTGAGTGCTGGGATTACAGGGGTGTGCCACCTCGCCTGGCTCATGAACATGCCTTTATTCTCAGCTGCTCTCTCGACAGGCTGCATTTGTAACACAAGACTACAGTGGCCGGGTGCCTGGAACGACCTTGGTTAGGTTAGTTATTTACAGAGACCCACAGCATGCACCTGCGCCCGGGTCTGGCCGCCTCGGACTGAATGTCCACTGCAGTCACCCCACACACACTCAGCCTGAACCGGAGTGTAGCTGTCCTAGGCTTCAGTCTCCTCACACTGGCTCGCTCCAGTCACCGAGCAGATACACGGTCCCTTCTCCCGGGGATAGGAGAGACAAAGGGAACACGTCTGCCAGCCAAACGTGAACCTGTACTTTCACTGTAATTGCCGTGTTAATGCTGAATCTGAGTCAGCTGTACTTGTCAGTAGCGGTTTTTCTCGAGTGGGCTTAATTTCTCTCCTTCTCTGTTGCCTCCAGTGGAGGAGGAGGATTTGTCTCTGCTGACCGCCCTGCTGGAGGAGAACCAGTCAGCCTCGACCTGTCATTCGGAAGCTGGGAGCTGCTCGCCCCCGGAGGAGGGTGGACCCGACGCCTATGACGAGCTCTTCGACGCCGATGGTGACGGTGAATCGTACACAGAAGAGGCTGAGGATGGGGACGTAGGAACCGCGGGGGTCCAGAAGGAAAACGTGGCCACCCTCTTTGGAGATGTGGGGGACTTAACAGATGAAGAAGTTCCGGAATCGCAGCCAGCTGAAAAGAGCGCCCTCCCTGCTTCGGCCCCTAATCGGGAGAAAACCAATCAGGAGCTGCAAGGTGCCCTTACCAACCACCTGCTTTTTCTCTTCTCCTTATGTAACCTGGGTAGGGTTCACGTGCAAGTAGAGCCAGGGCAAGGCCAGACAGCTGCTGCGCGTCCGGTTTGAACAGACAGCCATTCCTGAACCGAAGCTGTTAGCCATGATACTACAATTTACAAAGTAAATACAATCATTTCTTGACTCCTAAAATTGTGTTGACGGTCAGTGTGCATCTATGACACCTGTCGGTAGTACACATGCTTAACTAAGGTATTAGAGGCTTGATTACTAGAAGTAAAAAGTTGTATTTCTCTTGAGGGACCTCTTTGAAGTATAAAAATTAATCAGTATTAAAAATTAATTTAGGGGCCAGGGATTTAGCTCAGTGGTTTCGCCGCCTGCTGCACAAGCGCAAGGACCCGAGTTCAATCCCCAGTACCAAAAAAAAAAAAAATTAATTTAGGTGACTATTGTGAGTCTCAGGGTTTGGGGGCAAGAATATTGCTAGCATTGTTCTCACGTATAATATTTTTTCCCACAGTATTCTTAAGTCAATATATTTTTCTTTCCCTAGATGAATTAAGGAAGTTGCAAGAGCAAATGAAGTCCTTACAAGAACAGCTAAAAGCAGCGTCGATTAAACAGCCTGAAAGTCCAGGCTCTCTGCGTAAATCCCCTGGTAATAAGACTAATTTGGACAACATTGCACGTTTCTGTTATTAAGAAATTGTAGCTAGCTGGATGTGGTGGCATGCATCTTGGAGGCTGGGACAAGAGGAGTGCCAGTTCATGTCCAGCCTGGGCATGTACTGAGTCAGTGAGACCATGTCTCAAAATAAAAACTAAAAAGAGGCCTGGGTAGATGTCTCAGTGCAAAGCCCCAGGACTGAAAACATAAAACAAAACCCCCTCCCCCCAAAAAAAAAGTAAAGAAAAGAAATGATAATTTTGCCCTGGCACCTGGCACAAAACATTTTTTTTCTTAGAGTGAAACATATTGGTGCATGTTAGGGATCCATAACCGTAACGTTCATCATGGGGAATCTGCACCTGTACGTGATTGGGTCCCACCTCTTTTCTCCCATCCCCCTCAAGCCCCCTCCCCTCCCTGTGTACAAAAGCTCTGTTTCCATTTTTCCTTCTATTTTCACTTTTTTCTGGTCCCTTCCTTCCTCTCTCCCTCCCCCCTCCCCTGTTCCCTTCCCATGTGAACGCTTTCTTCCCATTTCCCAACATCCATTATACATCTCAGTCCTTATTTCCACCTTTGGTTTCTCACACCAGAGAAACGATGCAGTATTTAAACACGTGGCACAAAAGATTTTAATTTCCTCTGTAAATTAGCTTTACTATTTTTTTTTTTTAATTAAGAAAGTAGGACCACACGGCCCCCACTTAAGGAGAAGAAAGTTCAGAGAATTCAGGAGTCGGCGTGCTTTTCTGCAGAGCTTGATGTCCCTGCTCTGCCCAAGACCAAGCAGGTGGCTCGGAGGCCAAAGCCTTCTCCAGGTGTGGTACTGGGGCCCCACCGCTGCTTCATGTTGCTCTGGCTCCGTCTGAAATACACTGTGGCTGTTGTACACTTGTGTATGTGGGTGTGTGTCTGTCTTATCTCCCCACTGAGAATAATAGGTTTCTTGGAAATGAATGAGAGGCATAGGATGTATTTTTGTGCCCTTCCCCTACGTCTCAGAGTACTATACTTAGAACATCCTTGGGTACACAGTAGGTACTGTGCACTCAATAGTTAACAGGTTAAATTTGTTAACCTTGGCCTGGGGATTTAGCTCAGTTGTTCCACCACCTGCCCTGCAAGTGTGAGGACCCGAGTTCAATCCCTGGTACCAAAAAAAAAAATTATTAACCTTCCAGTGTTGTTTTGCTTGGACTGCATTAAGTACCACTAGACTGAATCCTCATGCTAGAAATCTGGAGATTTTATCTTGTAAGATTAGGTACATACTTCTTATAAAGTACTCTTATGTGAAAGCAGGTTGTACTGAGCCAGAGGGTCCATTCTATAGAAACAACGTTTTTGGGCCAGGGATTTAGCTCAGTGACACTGTGCCTGCCTTGCTAGCACAAGGTCCTGAGTTCAATCCCCGGTACCAAAAAAAAAAACCAAAAATTTCTTTGGGAAAATAGAAGGTAGTAATACCAAAAAAAAAAAGAAAATATGTATATACATATATATGAAAAGGATTTATAAGTCCTGTGTATTGGTTTTATTGTGTTGCCTCAGTTTGCCTAAGGTTATTCTCCTTCAAAAGGCCTAAGACAAAATGGTCCAGAAATAATGCACCTTAGATGAAGCATCATTTTATTAGCTGAATTTGTTCAGAAAAGCCCTTTGAATACCTTTGGCTTATGACTCAGTCGTGGGGAATTCCCAGAACCTTTAACTGTTCACATTAGCTTCAGAGCAAATTGTATATCCAGTTTATCCGTTTATGATATTGTCTCTCCTCTCAAGACCTTTGACATTACAAAGGTGTTTCATTGGGCAGAGTCTGAAGTTGGTTTTGAGGCGTGTAGTTCTAAAGTTCTAGAGTTGCCCTGTCCCCTGGATTGGGACTAACGAGCCAAAGTCTGCTAGAGGGTAAACAACAACACCCTTTCATAAGAGAGATTGCTGGTTTTTTATCGAGCGTGCCAAGCTTTCTGACCTTCGAGAGCATTCTAAACACTTCTCAAACGGGAAGGGTGAGCACATCTGGGACATTTAATGTGTGTGGTAGTCAGCAGAGTATGTTGGTCCCCTTTTCTCTCCCCCACCTCACAAATAAAAGGAACGGAATGAGATGAAAAGTGAAAGAAAAACAACAAAGAGGAATTAGCTTTGGAGATTTTCAAGGAAGAATTTGCTGTGTGCACAAATATTTACTATTTATTGCTTTTTTTTTTTTTTTGGTACTGAGGATCGAACTCAGGGCCTTGCACTTGGCAGGCAAGCGTAGCGCCACTGAGCTACATCCCCAGCCCCAACTATTTATTCCTGAAGGAGGGCTTTTACTCCTATGGTAAGCACTGCAGTGTTTACACATGGTGAATACTCAGTGAACTTCATGGAATAGAATAATAATGTTTTAAAACTGCATGTCTAATACAGTAGGTACTAGCCCCATAACCCTAAATTACAAGGAGCTGGGCTTATATCTTAGTGGTAGACCACTTGCCTGTTGTGTGTGAGGCCCTGGGTTTGATCCCCAGAACTGAAAAAAATGAATGAAGCCATGAATTTGGTTAGAAACTCCGTGGACCCGCAGGCCACAGTAAGTGCTCAGTGGTCACATTAAGTGTGACTGGTGGCCACCCTGGGTTGGACGGTACTAATACATTTCCCATCACCGCAGAAAGTTCTGTTGGACTGCACTGCAGAGGTTTTGAGTGGTCTTGTTCTTTCAAGATCTGATTATCATACGTGTCAGTTAAAAATGAAACAATTCTATAAGCAAATTTTGTACTTTACCAGTTTTTTCCCCCCTTAATCCTTATGTTAATTTTCCAGGACCTAAAAGCTCATCTTCAGGGATGACAAATGCACCCTCCCAACCACTCCAGACTGTTCCTGGGGAAAAACACAGTGGGGTGACTAGAGATCGGGGCTCGGGGAGCCCGGGGAGCTTGGGGGAGCCAGCTCAGCAGGTCTCCATGGAAGCCTTCTCCGGCCTGCGGCTCAGGTCAGTGGCCTCTCTGTCTGCATAACTAGATGGCCCTTCCTCCTCTTGGAGACAGGGTCTTTTAGAAGCAGCACATTCTTGTAGCAGATTCACAAAATACCAGCAGCTCTTGAGCTGGACAAAGCTTGCAGTAAGAACAGCTGCAGCACTGGGTTGACTCAGGCCAGTCTTTATGAAATGCGTGAGGAAGGCTTGTTCTTGTTTATGTAGGGAATAAAGACTGTTTACCTGTGAAACGGAAGTGGCCAAATAGTGGTACATTTAATCAGAGACAGATGGAAGCACATACAAACTTTAAAATTTTTTCCAGCTTTGGTATAAACTTTTCATTTTTTATTTAATTACTTATCTTGCAGTATTAGGGATCATAGATTATTTTTAAATATATAAAGATATGTCGTTTAACGAAGATAGAATTTTATAGTTGATCTTATAAAATAGCATAAAAGCTTATAAAATAACCTTTTAAGGGTAAATCCATATCCAAAGGAAAGCAAACTTTGTCTTAAAAATGACTTTTATGTGCCTGTTGTACAACTGTGTGCCTCGTCCATACTATAGAACGAAACCCCCTGGGCACTCTGGGTTTCTGTCCTCGTCATCTCCCCTCACCACCTTGCAAGGTGCCCCGTAATCCCTTGTAGAATAACAGTCTTTTAATCGTTGGTGTCTGAACCTAGGCGGCCTCGAGTGTCCTCCACAGAAATGAGCAAGAAAATGGTTGGCCGAAAACTGATCAGATTGTCTCAGGTCAAGGAAAAGATGGCAATGGAGAAGCTGGAAGAAATGGACTGGGTGACGTTTGGGGTTATTTTGAAGAAAGTCACCCCCCAGAGTACTCATAGTGTAAGCCATGTGTCTTAGTTACTTTTCTCATTGCTGAGACATAATGCCTGAGACTCAGAGTGAAAGGAGGAAGGGTTAGTCAGTCAGCTTCTTCCTGTCCTAATGGTGTGTGCACGCATGTGCGTGTATGTGTATGTATGTGAGTGTGAGTGAGTGCTTGTGTCACTGGAAAGGCAGTGTAAGCCCACTGACTATACAGACATGAGAATTGGGGCCGGGGATTTAGCTCAGTGGTGTCGCCACCTGCTGCGCAAGCGCAAGGACCCGAGTTCGATCCCCGGTACCAAAAAAAAAGAATAGATGTGAGAATTAGGTCTTTCACCAACAGTTTGCTCCTAGCTGGCCTTGCTTCCCTGTCCTCTCTTAATGAGGAGGGTAATATTTTTCCACAACAGAGTGCTTGAACCAAAATGGAGGTAGTGTAATATCACTATGAATTATTAACAAACATTATTAAATGTAAAAATATTCATCCCAGGGAAAAACATTTAGCATCTGGCGATTGAATGATCTTCGGGACCTGACAAGTTATGTGTCGCTGTTCTTGTTTGGAGAAGTTCACAAAGAACTCTGGAAGACAGAGCAAGGCACTGTCGTGGGCTTGCTCAACGCCAACCCCATGAAGCCCAAGGACGGTTCAGAGGAGGTAATAAGGATCTGCATCTAGGGTTTGACTGTCTTTATTTGTTTATGTTAGCTGAGTTTTATCAAAAATGTTTTATTAGGCTACCTCCAGCCAATGAATCAAACTTCTGTATTTGCGTCTCCATTAATCTGGTCTTTGATTTGTTTGTTCCTTTTCCACTAATATTTTGAATTTCTACCTACTCTAAAGTGTTTTGTAATAATGACTTTTATTATATATAACGTTTATGCTCAAGTTTCCTGAGATCCCTCCCATAAATATCCATGGTAGCATCAAGGAGCAGTGCTTTGTAGGGCAGGGAATATTACCTCATTCTGGTTTTTCTTGGCGGGGGGGGGGGGGTACTGGGGATTGAACTCAGGACCTTGTGCTTTTGAGGCAGCAACAGTGCCACTGAGCTAAATCCCTGGCCCTTACCTCATTAATTTTTATTACACCTAACAGTTGCAGTTAATCCAAAGTGAATTTCATCTTTTCAGGCGTGTTAGAGTTGTACTACCCACTGCTTCTCTAGTGAATTGCAAAGCTAACCCCACTGTGAATGGCAGTGGCAATCTCTGTACCCTGACCCAAGTAGAAGCTTTATTTGTACTCAAATTATTTATTTTCAGGAGTGAGGGGAAAAAATTAACTTCATTCTTTGCTTTCACCAGAGAATGGCAACAAGTCTTCCTCTGTTGGTTAGGAATGTATTTGGCTGCAAAAACCAGAAAAACTCCATTGTGGTTTCTGTTTAACAGTAAACAGTGGGATTTGTTTTTCTTGAAAAGTCCAAACAGGCAGTGCAGTGACCGCGATGTCCCTGTGACCTCTCTGCCCTTCCCTCTTGGCCACAAGTCCCTGCGGGGAGAGCACCCTACAGTGGTTACTAACCCCTGGGGAGGACTCTCAATGCTTCGCTTAATTTCTACTAAAATTCCGAGATCTGAAGGAGGCTTTGCACAAGCCCAGCTGCCCTGAGTGTGAGGCCAGTGAGATGGAAGCCTCTCACAAGTTGCATAAAGGGACTTTATTACTTCAAGGAGAAACAGCAGCCTAGGATCACAGTGAGCGGATTCCACAGGGCCTGGGGAAAGCTGGGTGGGGTCTTGGCCCCCTCCTTGCCCAGATTTGCATGGTAGCTGAGGGTTTCCCCAAGCGTGCTGCTCGAGACTCCATAGCCCAGTCGCCACTGGACTCGCAGGGCTCGAGTGCTGGGAGAAATCCTGCTCTAAGGGGGATGACGACAAAGCCCAGGTTAATCAGGACATTTCCACCTTGTCTTAGGTCGTTGTATTCTTGATGCATTCTGTTGAGAATTGTCAGAAAGAAGCAAGAGAACTGGATCCGCCAGGGCCATTCAGGGCCCATCCTCCTGCGTTCATCCCACCAGTTGGAAAGAAGTGAGGAGGAAGGCCACACACTCCTTTGTCCCCCACCAAGTTCCCTCCCAGCTCTTGCTGACATCTTAATTGCCTGGAACTTAGTGGCATGACCATTGCTAGCTAGCAGGAAGCTGGGGAGACAGGGAGTGGGATCTGTTACTTGAGGCTGAGCACTTGGCCAGCCCGGATGACATCAGGATTCTGCTGGCTAGGGAAGCAGACTGATCCTGCGAAAGAACTGAATGTGTCTTCTCCACACTTACTCCTAAAGCTGTTTGCAGAGGCCCGCCTTCAGATTCCTTTAGAACAACAGAGCCTCCTTCCGTCTGCACCAGCCATTCTTTTCTCCATCTTGTAATGAAAGGTTGTGCCTCTGTCTACCTTTAACTCTCACCTCCCCTCTCTTACAGGTGTGCTTGTCCATCGATCACCCTCAGAAGGTCTTAATCATGGGCGAAGCTCTTGACCTGGGAACCTGTAAAGCCAGGAAGAAGAATGGGGAGCCATGTACACAGACTGTCAATCTGGTTGGTTTCAACCTCGTGAGACAGGAATGATTAGTAATAGACTTTGGGCGCTTTGGCCATAATGACGAAATTGGAACTGAGTTCCCCACTACCAGGAAGAGTTAATCTGAGACCTTTGAATGTGTGGTTAATAATTGCCAGTTTAAAAAGCTAGGGCAGCAGGGGTAGGAAAAGGACAGGGAGACTTCAACTTCTCCGGGAGTGATCTCTACTGCCAACCGACCAGAGGTGTGAGGAAGGCAGAAAGTTAGTTTGCCCTCAGTTCTTTGTAGTTCCAGAGATCAAACACAATGGTGAAATACGCCAAAAACCTTATTTTATCCTAAACTTGAACTCAAATATATAACTTTTTAAAGTGGTTTTTTAAAAAATAGCTTCATGGAGTTATAATTCATATGCCAATTTGCCCTTTCAAAGTATACAATACTTTTTAATACTGAGAATTCACAGAGTTGTGACACCATGTCATTTCAGAATAGTTATTTTCATTATCCCCAGAAAGACCTATTCCTACTGGCAGTCAGCCCCACCCAGTGTCCTTCCCCAGCCCTTGGGGAGCTTCCTGTCTCTCTGGGTTTGCCCATTCTGAATATTTCATACAGTGGCATCACAAAATGTGAGCTTTTGTGACTTTTTTGCTCAGCGTATTGTTTTCAAGGTTCATCTGTGTGGCATTTAGCATCACCTCACCCTTTTCATGGTTAAATATATCCCGTTGTATGAAAAGACCACATTCTGTTCATCAATTCTTCGGTTGATAGACATTTGGGCTGTGCCCACATCGGGCTATATGAATAATGTTGCTGTAAGCCTTTACTTACAAGCTTTTGTGGACAGCTGTTCTCAGTTCCCTTCACTACATACCTGGGAACAGGACTGCAGTGACAGGTGACAACGTTATGTTTGGAGCTGAAGGAACTGCCAGACTGGCTTGCAAAGTGGCTGGATGATTGTATCTTCCCACCAATGTATAAAGGTTCCAGTTTCTCCACATCCTTGCCAACCCTTTGTTTACTGTATCTTTATTTATTTATTTATTTTTGTGGTACTAGGAGTTGAACCCAGGGCCTTTGCTCTAAGCTACATACCCAGCCCTTTTTATTTTTTTATTTTTAATTTTTTTTGGTACTGAGGATCGAACTCAGGTCCTTGCGCTTGTGCAGCAGGTGGTGAAACCACTGAGCTAAATCCCCAGCTCAGCCCTTTTTATTTGAGACAGGGTCTTTTTAAGCCACTAAATTACCCACACTGGGTTTGAATTTGTGATCCTCCTGCCTCGGCCTCCCAGAGTGCTAGGATTATAGGCGTGGGCCACCATACTTGTTTTGTCTGTCTTTTATAGCCATCCACATGAACATGAAGTGGTACTTCTTAGAGTTCTTTGAAGGCTTAAATGACAAATTTTGGTTTCATCTCATTTTCCTTCCTTCATTCCTTCACAATACATGAACTGGTGAGCAAGAAAGACAGGTAACAAAAAGGAGATCTTAAAAGTACGGAGATTTCATAAAGGAGCTAGAACGGAGAATTAAAAATCCATTGTCACCACATCTAAGAGTTCACCAGTACAACAGTATGACTTTGTTTCTTTTATTGAAATAGTAGCTTTTATCCAGAGGGCAACTATAGAAAAACTTTGCTAGAAGCTGGTTTTTAGTTTTCAGTCTTATTTATTTTGTGTGTGTGTGGGGGGGTGGAAGCCAGGGCCTCATGAACACTAGGCTAGTGTTCTCCCTGAGCTACATCGCCAGCCCTTTCAGTCTTTTTATTTTGAGGCGGGGTCTTGCTAAGTTGCCCAGCTGGCCTGGAATTGGGAATCTTCCTGCCCCTGCCTCTTGAGTGACTGGGCTTAAGCATCGGTGGAGGAAAACTTCAAGCACACACAACGGCCCAGTTTTAGAGTGTGGGATTTGCTGGTGGTAGCGGTACAGCCACCAGCTCTCCAGTTTCAGAACTACTCACCACCCCATGAAATCCTTCCCATCCCTGCTACCTCCGGTCGCCCCTGACAGCAGTTTTCTCCGTGTGTGGGATTTGCTGCTCGGGGCGCATCCTGTAGCAGGAATGGTACCAGGGGTGACTTTGTGGCTGACTTCTCTAACTGAACGTGTTTCTAGCAGCCCATTGTATTTGCATCGCAGAAAGGAGAAAGGGAGGAGTGACCACACTTCTTCCTTTCCTGGACGAGTACCTCACGCGGGACGGGAGGAAGGCTGTGCGGTTGCGTCCCTGCGCCACCGCTGACCGCCGGCCGCTCTTCTTTCCCCAGCACGACTGCGAGTACTGCCAGTACCACGTCCAGGCGCAGTACCGGAAGCTCAGCGCCAGGCGGGCCGATCTGCAGTCCACTTTCTCGGGAGGACGAATTCCGAAGAAGTTTGCCCGCAAAGGCCCCAGCCTGAAGGAGCGGCTGTGTCAGGACGGTTTTTACTACGGAGGAATTTCCTCCCAGTCTTACGCGGCCTCCATGTAAGTCCCCAGGCTTCTCTCCAGGGCGGGGTCGCGCTTGCCTTCCAGGAGCAAGCCTGCTGCCCGGGCCGTGCCTGACTCCACATACTGGCCGGGTTCTCTCTGCGCTTGCGGGCCGCCCGGACCGCTTTCTCCTCGGGGACGGAAGGGACAGTCTTCGGGTGAGTCCTAACCTGTGGCCCTTCGCGCAGAGCCCAGGCTCCCCGACTTCATCTGCCGACTCTGGCGGCTGAGTCAGCAGCGCTCCCGTCCTGGGGCCGTTCCGCGACGTCCAGGCCAGGCTGCAGACTTCTCAGAACCCGGACTTAATCTTATGGACTCCTCCAGGGAGGGAGGGACAGTCGACCCAGGGCAGGCACCACGGTGCGATTCTGGGGCTTTCAGCCCGGGGAGGCCCGCACAGGTGACCAGTGACCTTGCCACCGGCCTCTAAGGGCCACGCCTGAGCCTGTGACAGGCAGGACCTGGGCCGGGAGCTGTAGAGCTGTAGTCCGTCTGGGGACAACAGATTTTGTTCCTATGCAACAGAACCTGGCCAGGCGGCCTCGCACTAACTGCGCATTGTGCTTGGTAATGTCAAGCACGTACATCCAATTTAGAAGAATTTCTTTATTTTTCCAAACTGTTGGAAGCAAGACACATTATTTTTTTTAATAAAGAATATGTAATTCAAACAAAAGGAGAAAATAAAGACCATCTATAACCCTTAAAAACTTAGTTTTTTGGTACATGTTTCTAGTGTTTGGATTTTTAAAAAAATATGTACACTTTTTGATATCATATGAGTGCGTGTGTGTATATATATAATTAAATTTTTTAATTTTTTATTTTTTTGGTACAAGGGATTGAACTCAGGACCTTGCGCCTTCGAGGCAGGCACGGCACCACTGAGCTAAATCCCTGGCAATATCATATGTATATTTTTAACCCCCCCGCCCCCATTTTCCACATAAAATAATGTTTTCCTTGTCAAATATTCACTTAGGTCATTTTTTTTTTTTTTTTTTTTTTT